AACTGAAGTGTAAAAGCGTTGCAACCGCCACAACAAGGCTACAGCCGAAAATTAGAAATTGATCAATAAGGTCAGATCAGGTTGACACTCTTGTGCCAACCCCTCTGCGGTAGCATAATTACTGTCAGATCTACCCGAGGTGAAAAACCCAATGTGGACAACGGCAGGCAGCACAATCAGGTGTGGTCCGCTGGTACAGAAAGCGACTTTCTCCCATTTCGCGGTGCGAAACATTTCTCGCTGTGAGACCTCAGGTCCACCACTGATCATGAGTGAACCTGCTGCGTAACGTGAGCAAGTCGCTTCCTGTCCTAACAAACCTCACATCCACAAACCAAAAGAAACCCAGCAGCAGAGATGGCGTAATAGAATATACAGAATGAAATCTTACAATGCGAGGAAATCGAAAAGAAAGTTCAGTAGTCAACACTTCGACGCAATTTTTGCGTATCCGCCGAGAGGGACCGCGACCTTTTCATTTTCAAAACAATGTACATATATTGGTACTAAAACGTACAATACTATAAGGCAGCAACTGTGTCTAAAAGGCTCTAACTCAATGCAGAATTTAGGAGGTCATCTGTCTCAAACTTTTGCAGATGTCTTCAAAATAGCGGAAATCTCCTCGCTCGGCCCTGTGAAGCAAACTTGAAGCCTTTACCAGGGCATCCGCACACGCACAGTCACATATTTAGATACGGGTCTTCTTTTGCCAATAAGAATATCATACAAAATGGCTTTACGGCCGTATAGCCGAATTATGTACAAGACTTCTGTCAACCAAAGGGTGACAATGTATACGCGATATCCGAAAGTTGGGGTAGGCGTGTCACCGGAGTAACGTGGCACTGATGAGCGGCGGCTTGAGCTGCTTCCAACATTCATCAGTGGATAGCAGCAAAGGCATGCTGGCAACAGCTTATCCATGCAACTTCTATCAAGTGCACGTCAAGAGCGTACCATCTGGGTAGTACTGTGACTGTCAAAGAATGTAAAGAAAGCAGATAAGCAGCAATAGTGCTCATGTGTGAGAACAAATCCCCACACGGCACTCCAAAACGCTGAAAAGCCCGGTTTCACGGTTGGCGGAAATCCAACGGGGGACCATAACATGATTACGTGACCGCTATGAACTCTCCCCCTGATGCCTCTGCCGCTGAAGGCCAGAGCGCAGACGATTAGAGAACAGCGTCCGGCTCTATTCCAGATCCCAAGCAAGAAGGTGAACGCCTTAGGACTAAACCTTGGAGGGAGGAGAGACTCCTGGGTGAGCCAATTAATTGTGGCAAAGATGAGCGTGTCAGATCACAGTATCATACGCCGCTGCTTAGGTGAGAGAGCACAGGTGCGAGTATTAAATCGAGGTGGTTTAAAGGACTGAGTCCAAGTTGACCGTGACTTACCGTAATGCGCGCGCTTCGTGACGGACCACGAGGTACCTGTTTGCTTGTCGTCGCACCCAAGTGCATGCAAGGCTTCTGTCAACCAGGGGGTGAGAGTGTAGAAGGAAAAGCAGACGTTCTTTGTGGTAGTGGGACTAAGCCTTTTAAGGAGGTAAAGAAAGCGGAGATTCTGTAATAGTGCGCTTGTGTGAGAGCTCCCAGACAGCACAACAAAACGCTGAATTGCCTAGCCTCACGGTTGACAGATGTCCGGAGCAGGGTCAACCCTATCGTTGTTACTCTTTGGAAATTTTTTACGACCCCCCCCTTCATGGGTGATTTGATACGACCCCCCTTGTATGTGACACTTGTGTAGAGACAGTGTTTACCATCAATATTTATTTGAAACTTTAGCAAAATCCACGACAGATATTCATCGCTGCTTCCAAACACGAAAAAATGAGATGCATTCAAAGATATCCGTGTACTCCAAAGGGTTACCAAACTAGGAGATGAAATAAACTGAACCAGTGACCGGAATATTGACAATATTACCTGATAAAAACTTATGAGAAGTCAGAAAAAATTATCGCTCCAATTGAAATACTGAAATCCTTCACGTTCTTCAATTGCAACACAATTTTTACACCCCTCTTTCTAAGGCTATAACTTCCTTCATATTCGAGCTTCTGCGCCGAAGTGATTTGATTTGGAAAATTCAAATTATTCTCTCTCCAACCATGGGTAAAAATTCTTCGAAAGTTAATTTAATAAAAATTTTGTACGTTGTTACTTTTTTCTGTGCAAAGCGACTTTTTGACCTTCAAACGATCATAACTTCCTTCAAAGTCATTCATTTGAGAAGCTATTTGTAGTCAATGTTCGAAGCTCTATCGAAGTTATATGGGTTTCCATTCAAAGTTCCATGGGACGCTGAATCCTTTCCTGGTTAGGGGAAAAGGGAGCCGATGGCAGATGACACTAAGACTGAGCTCAGGACAGGGGAGAACGCCAGGAGGAACATAAGTTGCTCACATCCCCTACCAGAATCCATCCCCCTCTCTGAGGCTTAAAACAAAGCTTAGTGAACGTCCTCACCCCCCCCCCTTCCAGGATATGAGCGCCTGATCACTATGTTAATTCTCATCTTTTCTTACTGAAGTTTCCTTACGAACATCGCTATGCTGAAATCTCCACACATTGGAAAGTAATTCGCGTCAACGTCAAAAGTACGGAACCACCATGTTTGCCATGTTTTTTTCTTCTGGATTGATACTGGGTGTACGTAATTTTCAAACAGATTCATTTAAAGAAGAAAAATGACTAAGAAGCCTGTCCAAATTTCGCAGTCCGGACAGAATGAAGGTAAGCATTTTGTAAATGATTCTTAACAAACGAGAACTCCACAACAGGAATTTCAAAAAGTGGTATCATCCCCTTAGCATTCGCAACCAAAAAACAATTCTCGAGTTTTCTTCCGGTCGCGAAAGTCGAAGTGCTGCTCAGCATCGGCCGTGATCAGGCGAGTACTTGGGAAGATGCCCCACTAGAACCTTTGCTGAGCTTTAGGAAGGAGGGCTCGACTGAATTCCGCACTTTAGAGGCTCGCCCGCATCAAAGGTAAGAGGTAAAATTTCTGCTTAGCAGCGTGTCGGATTTCCTCGATGGAGATGAATATGTGAACTTTTTGCCGAAGGAAAACCTTATCTAATTAATAAGTGAGAAAGAATGGAAGTAGTGTTACGGATGAGGGTACCACTAGAGGCGTTTTACACTTTCTGACCCTGTTGGGCATCACCAATGAGCTAACTTTTCACCAGTTCACCCTCGTGTGCGCAAAAGGTCGAGCACAATTCTACAGGTGGTTGATTTCAACACTGTACGAAATCCAATTCCAATCAGTGAGCTCGTTCTGTGCTTACCATTGACTGGAAAGTCGATGGTCCCGAGGTTTCAGCTCCTGTGCGCTATTACGGCGAGCCAGGTACTTGTGTGCATATCCGGATATGAGTGCACCACTTGTGCTGTCATCTCAAGTGGCCAATGACAAATAGGACCACAAAACTGGAAGGGATTCTCATAACCTCACGTGAATCCTCTCTCGCCCAATTAAAGGAGAACTTATACAAGTTGCAAGCTAAATATCTTAATGAGGTTATGGTGGAGAAGACCACTAGTTATACTTTGGCGATAAGGCAGGCTTACTAGGTGTTCGCGAAAGAGACGAAAAACACAGGTTCTAAAGTCAACGAATCAACTTGCTCATAAGAGTAGCGATGCCGACCATAAACGTAGCTGAACAGAGGAAATTTTTCCTTCGAATGGCTACATGCTGGGGGGCGAAAGCGCGGCTGATTTCGATATCCACAATATTTCACTGATATGTTTTGAGCGAGTATTTCTCTCTTCTTTTGCGGATTTCCACAAGCAGCCATCGTCACAAACATTCCATTTACCGTTTCGATCCACACCATCACTTTTCTGCTTCATAGAATTGCCACCCTTTCTGTAGCACTTTCTCCAGTTGTGCTACCGAGCCGGCGTTGTCGGCGAGGTAAGCGTTTAGCAGCCTTTTGTTATTGCTCACCTAACAGTGCTTGCACTGGCCACGCGGTTATTGTATAGTTCCTTGGCACGGATTATTGATTATTGTCCTAAAAAAGCAGACAATAATATTAGCTCATATTTGTTGAAGTTAATATCCAAATGCGAAAGATGCTTAGAGTCCTTCGAGTCGGTAGAATATATTGATTCCAAGCCGAAAAAGGTGCCGAAACTATTGCGAATAACTGGGGGAGGATCTGTAAAATGGCTGTTTTAGAATAGGTAAACTGGGAGTAGGTCTAATCAAGGGAGCCTACTATTGATGGAAGAGTATATGCGGTCCTTGAGGAGACAAACAGAGCCAGGAGCCAGAGAGGCGAAGCCAGAAGTAGGCCCAGTGAGTCATCTGGGGTTCCTTATATACAGTGCCCACGGTCACAATCTGCAGCTGTGACTTCAAAAAGTCACAGCTGCAGATTGTGGCACACGGCAGCTGGCAATCGAAAAACATATTCTGAAAGCATTCTGAGAACGTTCTGAATGGTAACGAATTCTAAAGTAATTATTCGTAATGCTTATAATGTTTTTTCTAGCCATATGTATATTTATACAAGGTAGCGTATAGCTACACAGCGACCTGTGAAGCAGAACAGCAAGGTCACAAGGTAGGTTGGAGATGTTGTGAATGCTTCTTTGCATTCACACCAGCCCATTGGAAAGAGCAGCTCACAGTGGCCATTATTATGGTGAGGTCCCCTTTCCCTTAGCACCTACACTTTTCGTTTTTTTTTGCGAAGAAAGAAAATCAAATAAATCAAGCCCTAGAAGCAATATTGTGTTCACATGGCTCTGCCTGACAGCAGTTGCAGATGTGACATGTCCGAACTCCGGAGTAGGCCCCTGCGAAGTTCTTCGCATGGCGCTGTTTCAGGCTGTGACTCCAGTGTTCTGTGCAGTCGAAGGAAACGTACTGCGCCAGCATAGACTTTGATCATCGTCCTTGTTTACCTTTCAATGTCTATTAATAATATAGCTGCACTTGTCTGACGTCACTGCGCTTTTAAAAGTTTTAACCTGTTTTCTCATCAATTAGACAGAATGAATGATAGTTATAAATTTGTACCTAACAAACACAAGAGCCATCCCGGTAGGTGATTTCATGAAACTGAATGTTTTGAAGCGCATAGACCTGCAATTTCTTCATATGAACAAACAGCCCTGATGTCCGAGCTGGAAAACAGCCCTTATGGCCTTTTCACAACATGGTCAGTACATCTCCTGATCTTCTATCCTACCTTCGTTTACCCTAAAATAGATGTCCCTTCTGAAAACCTACTCGCAAACTCTTCGATTGTGAAGATCAATTTTAAACGTGATTTATTAAGTGGTTGAGCTTTTCTAGGTCGGCCTCAGGCGAGCCTTCACCAGCGACCGCACATGATCTCGTGGTACCTAGTTATTTGGGGCGAAAAACCGCCGGATAATCCAGTAACGGCAGTTCGGTATTGAGCGATAGCACAACTATAGTCACAGGTACATAGTTTGGGAATCTACGGAATAAAAGATCGTTGAAGGAGGGGGGGGGTATAATGCTTTGTATTTAAGAGAGAGGCTTTTTGAGAGCTTGTATACTTTCTGCTAGCTGCATATGTTGGTATTTACAGACGGGAAAGTGGCAGTAGACGTGGGCCCTGGAGAGGGGATTCTCCATCGGTGTACTCCTTCGGGTGCAAGACACCGTTTCAAGGAATGGTTTTGCGTCCCGAAAGACCTCAACTGCGCCTGTGGGTTGACCTCATATCTTCATTGACCATCCACCTAGCCGACACCTCTAGTAGAGCAGGACTTTGACTGGCAAGTGCATAGTAAGAGAGGTGGGTTAAAAAGATGGTCAACAGTGACGTGGGTTCAATTGTTGTGCGAAACAAAAGATAATTAATCGGTCGTGGGTCGTGGCTATTTCCTCCCTTGGTTGAATTACGCGTGACCAGTGCGTCCATATATAGCGCTGTTTATAATACAGGGGCAATAAAAAGGCTATTTTGTCTGTGCAACAACAACCAGAGCTTTCTAAATTGGAACTGAACGCTTTCAAACAAAAATTGAAGTGCATATATTGCTTCACAAGAAGACTTCATAAAAGCCTTCAAGACAGAAGCCAGCAAGAATCACTACGGGAAACGTTGAAGCTGCACGAATTTGAGCTCTACGGGCCTTCGAACGCGACTCGTGGATATTATGGCCTTACCAGAAACACTGGTTGGAAGAGGTCTCCCATAGTCGGAGCTACCAGCTTTTGAAAACTATCCACCAGTGGATGCCTTCAAAAAATTGTGTAGAGGCACTTGGCCTTGTTGAGCTTAGCGACGAGAGATGAATTCATATTTTCAGAAAGACGAGGGCAGTTACGGAGGACTTGCTTGTACTTATAAGGGGACATATCAGAAACATTTTGCCAAGGGGCTTTCGTCAACGGCAGCATTACATATGCATGCAACCAAAAAAATGAGAGTGGCATGAGCAAAATGTTCCTTTTTGCTCCCCTCCTTCCGTCGTAATAGAAGTGAATTATCCGAAAAAGTCCACGACATAATTTCAAACATCCGGCGTGATATGAAATGCAGGCTTTTTTTAAGCAACAACAACAGTTCAAAAACAAGTTTCCTGGTTTTTACTATACATGATCATTAAAAAAGTTTTTCCTTTAAAATTCCTTCGCTTTATTTTGAGCTCCGACGGGTGGTGACCGTGGTAGAATGGTTGCAAAAAGCCCAACAAACTTGCAATAACATCATCACCTCGACAAATAAACAACTGTTGCATTGCTTTGCTGTTGTTTAGTAGAAGGCTTCCGCGCGGGGGTTCTCACTTTGCGACATCGAAGGCGACGTTCATGACGTCCATGAATTATTTCGTAGCATTGATTATGACTAACTAAAGCGTCAACTCTCAGTGCTCGCAGAGCAGTTTCTACCAAGCGAATTTGCATGATTTGTTGGATTGTGGAAAAACTAGGTCAGGATTGGTGTGGGGAGAGAAAAGTGCAGGCGAGATCGGACGCGTCAGTGCAACGGAAATGACGGACCGATTGACAGGACCGCTCCGATACCATCGATCGGGTAGGGTTTTCGCCTGCGGGGAGCCTTCGAAACCGTGGCTGCTTCATCACACTTACACTCGTGGAGGAAGCCTTTCCACCCCCACTTCCTTCTCTATCAACTACGCCAACGGGAATTGATAGAGGGGGCGTCGCCGGTGGGCGGACTGAGACCGCGACGTGTCTCCTTGCGTTGAATGGTCGTCGCCTGACGACCGCAATGTCCCTATTACGCTGTACTACGCTCCTCCTCGTCGTGGTCGCCGTCGCCACCACCCTGTATTACTCGGCTACTCCCCTCCATGATGGTAGTCGGCTTGACGACTTTCTCGCCGAAACCGCAGCAGATCGTCGGCCACGACGCCCCACCACAGCCGCCCAGCGGCGGCTAATGGGTCTCACTGAGGAGCAGTACAAAACTGTGCACTTCTACCTGAATAAACTCAAAGAGCTTGGCAATCAGCGACATCCCGAAAGCTACGATAAGGTATAACGATTTTGAATCGATAAATATTGCAATTGATGCGATGGAGAGAGTGACAGCGTAATTTGCCGAATGACCGGTTAAACTGCAGCGGGACTGTCGACTGGTTACAAGTTGTTCACCATTGATTGGGTGATGCTTTAGTGCTTTATCGTTTCGTCTGAAGACAATTTTATCATTAGCTCAAGAATTTGTCGTGGTTAACGTCGTTTATTTCTTTCATTCTTGTAATGGTGTTGAATGTCGCCGAACAAGGCTTCGGAAGAAGGCCCAGATTAACCGCTTTTTTTCTGTCTAACAAGCCCGATGTCAGCCTACCAGACCGGGCGCTGGTTACGCAAAGACTGCATTCAGACTGCTGCATGGCTGCGTTCTTCCACACTCAACTGAATTTTATTCCTTGAATGGCTGGCCTTACGGTCTTATTTGTTTTTCGCTTCCTTTTAGTCAGCGGTCGTTATCACGCGCTGCTCTGATCCATCTTCTTTCGTTTTCACTTCGCGTCCTTGCGATGAATGGTACGGTTTTTCGCTGCCCCGAAAGGCACTGTATGGATATGAGATAGTCCAAACACCAAGACTCCATCGATTTTGGTCGCCCTCTTCCTTCGTTCTTGATCGGGACTCGCAACCGAGAGGTGCTGCCATTTCACACCTCATCGCCCTCACTCCTCCCTCTGAGGTGACCTAGGTTAATTAGTTTTGCTGGCGCTGACCTCTCTCATTATCAGTTCAAACATTAGTGAACGAAGATCAAACTGATCAATGTGGAATTATGGGAGGGTCAGTGTCAAGCTCACGAATTCAAAAGTAACACCGAAAGTGTAGGCTCGACGCTATGGTAATAACATTACAAAATTGGATGCTTCAGGCTCAAAAATGTAGCTGTGCCATGCCATACGACAGCTTGACTAGTACAGATAAGCATGAAAGCTTCCAGAATTTCGGGCGCTCGTGAGACTTGTTGTTCCATTCTTCTGAGCTATTACTTGAGAAAACGCTCAGCTTCCAACCCACCTGCTCGATTCGCAAGGCGATCGCTTTTAAAGAATGAAAGCAGCTTGAGGCATTGCATTTGTGTTTGTTGTTGCTTAGCATGACTTCATACTTTCGCTGTAGCAGTCTTTTTTAGGACTGTTACTTTTGCTCCGATCGGAGCGAACTATTCACCAACCGCCTCCTCCCCCCCCGCTTCTCCATTCTGCAAAAATTTCTATTTATTCTGTTTATAACTCGTCCACGCGCGCGTTTCATCTGCAGTATATGTGGTTTTTTTGTCTTTCAGTTCGTTATTTAATTAACGGTCTTGGATTTTGGGCCTTTCAGAGAGATTACTGTGTCATGTTTCGAGCTGAGCCCTCTTCAT